TACAGAAATCTAATTAGTTTACTAAATGTGCACCAGCCACAATCATATTTACTTAAGACTCAAGGAAAAATACAGAATACACCAAACTCCATTAAATTGGGTGAAATCTTATATGCCATCCTGTATAACGCTCCTTCGAAGCAGGAAATCCATCTAAAACATACTTGAAAGTTGGTCATTTCCCTCTGAATATATTTCAGTGATTGGATTCCCTCTACTTTTAGAAATAGCCTCTTCATCTTTGACAGTTTTACTGACTATGGAAATTCTTAACCTGAATCAAAATTTGATTCCTAATTTTTGACCCATTTGTTTTGGTTTTGCCAAATAGAGATACATAGTTTACTTTTTGTTTTTTTTTCCCCCTCTGTAGTAGCCCTTCCCTTCTTTGTAGACAGACATCACATCTCCCTAAATCTTTTCCAGGTTAGTTGTCTCCAACTGTCTCAAGTTTCTTATAGGACTGTTTTTTGACTTCTTGTTGCATGGTTAATGTTTCTGCTGAAACATAATCCATGAAAGTGGTTACTGTGTCCCAAAACAGTCTTAATATTATAGATTTCAATGTAACCATGGCTGCCTCCATACTGTTATTAATGAAACAGGTCTGTGTTGTTTTTGTAGTTTCTATTCCTAAGCATTCTGATCCCACATTTGATAGCTACTGAGTTTATGTTAAATTACAATTTCAAGTCGTTTACATTAACTTCCATTGGATTATGTCTTTCACTCTAGTTTTCAATCTATCACAGTAGTTTCTCTGTATTGGCTCTACACATAGTCTTAACGCAGGCAGCTCGCTGTTGTATCATGTGCATCAGCTCCGTATCATGTGCATATCTAATAAGTGGTTTCCTGTGTTTTCATCCAAGTCATGAATCAAAAACTCCGAATAGGTCAGGGACATGGACAAAGACCTTCAGCACACCACTGGGGACTTCCGTCCAGGCAAACAGATACTAACATAGATAAGTAAATATTAAAAAGTTCAGCTTAGATAAACTCCTCAAGAATTTTATAACCAGAAAATCTAGCAAATGTTATTCTAATTTCAGCAAATATTTATGTTTTATGTTATATGGTTTAGATTTACTTTTGATTTTTAATTGCTTTTTGGGGGGGAGTTTGAGAACACAACTTTCCCATTATGAGAGCTGCTCAAACAACTATAAAATAATAATTCTATAAATTAAACATATTATCCCCATATGCAGATTTACAAACAAATCTTAAGAGAGTCAATAACTTGATTAAGCCTGTACAGATATTAGCAGAGCCAGAATTCAAACCCAGATCCATGACTGCACTTGTTCCAAATAGGTCTGTTAACTAAATTCAGTTCTCTTCTTCATCCCCCAATGCTATCATATCGCATCAGGGAAAATACTCCTTCCTTGAGCCTGTGTGGTATTCTATCATAACACTACCATCTCACTTTCTTTCTGCTTTTACTATCATTTCAACATTGTTACACAATCGAGTCCCACACCCTTCTCATTCAACAAGAAAAACGATATGCAAGTGCCCGAGTGCATCTGTTTACATAAAACAGCTCACATACGTTCTCAGAGGCACATATGAAACTATTTCTATCGCATGAAAAATTTAACAATACTACTGTGTAGTATTGCATTATCAAAAGCAGCATGTTGGTTTAGCCATTTAATTAGTGACATTAACACTGTTGACGGTCCAACTGTAACGTTAGCCTCTTTATCAAGCAAATAAACATAGGATAATTGGGAGAATTTGGGATTTTAGTCAGAAAAAAAAAGAGTTCAAATTTATCCCCCAACATTTGCTAGTTTCTCAGGAGAGTATGCTAGGACTTTCTGGTCTCACCCTACACTTTCTCCCCAGGTGATCTCTTCCAAAGCAATGGCTCAATTTTCCAACTCTAAGTGAATAACTTTCTAATGCATTTCTAAGGCTTCCCTTCTGACCTTTAGTTCTGTGTATCCCACTTCCCTCAAAATTTCCACTGGAGTTCTCTCATAAGCACTTCCCACTTGGCATGTCCCAAACTAAACTTGCCATCTTTCTCCCCAGTGATCATAATTTTGGTCAACACTGTCCACTAGACACCCACGCCAGAAACCTGCGAAACGTCCTGGGTTCCACCTGCTGCACTCCTTATAACCAACCTCAGCAGCCTGTAGTTCTACTTAAAAAAAAAAATCTCCAAAGCTGTCCACTTCCCTTTTGCTTCCATTGCTCCCTCTCTAGTTCACACTACCTTGTTTTGCCCCTGAATACAGCTAACATTACTTAATTCGCATCTCCATCCACACTTTCCTATCTTTGATTCACTATAAACAGGCAGATATTTCTAAAATCCAAACTTATCATGTCACTCTCTTGCTTACATTCATTCTATTACTTCCCCTAGAAAAAAAGTTCAAATTTCTTATTGTGCTTTTATAATGTCCACATTGCAAGCCTCATCTCCAACCACTCTCTTATTTCCAACCCTTCTAGATTTCTCTCATTTCTTCAAACTCACCATGCTCTCTAATGTTGTACAGCTTACAGAGTCTTTCTGGCATTTATATCCAGAATGCAGTGATGGATATATGGAATTACTTCCATTTAGTTTAAAGAATATCAGACACTAAGACCACTCCACCCAGATTCATTAAAGGGTTGAAGGGGCCAGGGGAAGGGAATGAGATACCAACCTGAATGAGCATCCAGCTAAACTGGCATAGATACAGGTAATGTGTAACAGCAGCCACGGCTGAACAGCTCTCCTCAGCAAGTTGAGGACTTACATATGCAGACGCCAGAAACACAATCTGTAAGAAACAGATAATTCTATTTTTAAAACAGGCTCAAATCAATGAAGAATATTAAGAAAATAAACCGCTTTCATATCTAAATCTATAATTCAAAGGGAAAATAAGTTGATTTGTTGCCCAAACTGATATACTGAGTCATTCTAAAATAGCAATATGTGGATTTTTATATTTCTAAGAAAAAATTAATGACATGAAATTATGCTGCATGTTGCTCTAGGCTCTTAAGAGAAAATTCTCAAAGTGAACCTTGTTTTTATCACAAAAACAAAAATCCTGTGAAACACATTTATTTTAGCTGAGTAGAAAAGAGAAAATACAGTGGAAACACCATTCCTTATGTAACTCAAAGACAACGAGAGAGAAAAGAAAGAGAAATAAAATTTTTGACTTTACCAAAATGGACTTAAGATAAGTTTAAAATTTCAAATCCTAT